TTCCTCTGTTTTTGCAACCATACTCAACCATTTCTGTGAGCATCCTGATTATCAGTGTTTTGAACTGTGATTCTGATAGGTTGGCTATCTGTTCATTGCTTAGTTCTATTTTTGGAGCTTTGTTCTTTTCTTTCATTTGGGCCATATTTTTTGTCTCAGCATCTGTTATATTGTAAGGGGTGGAGCCTTAAGTTTTCCCAGGGTGGGGCAACCCACACCACTGAGGTGTGGCACTGCATGGGGGGAGGGTCCAAGAGGGAACAATGCCACTTGCTTGGCTCTCTGCTGGCTTTCAGTCACTTTCCCCACTATACACAAGCAAATTGGGCCCTTCTGGTGCTGATTCCTGGGTGGGGTGGGTTTGTGTACATTCTAGGACCCTGTGGGTCTCTCCAGTGAACCCTCCTGTGAGGCAGGGAGTTCCTTCTACTGCTGCAACCCCCACAAGTTTTTTTCACTCAGAGGTTTTGAGGCTTTATTTCCCTGCACTGGAACCCTGGATTGTGTGATCTGTCTCATAAAATGGTCTTAAACCAAAGCTTTTTAACTAAAAGCATTCATGGTGGGTAGTCATGTCCTAGGCCAGAATCTTCCCTGAAAAAAGTCAGTCTTTACCTTAATTGAGCCTATGTATTGTCTATTTGTATCTATGATAACATATCTTTGGAATGTCAAGGTACCGTCCCTTTTTCTGAACCCCTCACTCACAACCATGCACCATGTAAGAGACTACAAATCCCCTCATTACTATTGTAGACCATAAATCTACTCATTCTTATTGTTTCCATGTTAATTGTGGACTATTAACTATCCTGTATCCACCTGTGTAAAGAAGTATGTGCCTATCATTTTACTTTTTACCCAATCCCAGAGGTTTCCCTGCTTTGCTTTTCCCACCTACCTAATCTTTCATCAGTGGATTTCATGTAACCCCTTTATGCCTCCTCCTTTAATCATAATGTGTTAAAAAGGTGCAAAACTGCCGCTTTCTACAGCATATTCTCATCAACATCTGGTGATGTTTTAAATTCCTGGCAATTCTCATTACTTTGGCTCAAATAAACTCATACAAATTCTTTAAAGTAAAAAGAAGCAATCAGAAATGAAAAATGCAATAACTGAAATAGAGAATTAATTACAGGAAATCAACAGTAAGTAGATGAAGCAAATAACCAAACCAGTAATTTGGAATTAAGAAAGCAGAAAACACCTAATCAGAAGAGCAAAAAAAGGATAAAAATAATGAGGATAGTTTAAGGGGCCTCTGGGACAACATCAAGAATACAAATATTCACATGTTAGGGGTACTAGATGAAGAGAGAGAGCAAAAAATTGAAAAACTATTTGAAGAGTTATTGATAGAAAACTTTCCTAACCTGGCAAAGGAAACAGACATACAAGTCCAGGAAACACAAAGAATCCCAAACAAGATGGATGATCCCAAAGAGACCCACACCAAGACACATCATAATTAAATGCCAAAGGTTACAGAAGCAAGGGAGAGCAGATATTTATGTACAAAGGAGCTCCCACAAGACTATCAGCTGCTTTCACAACAGAACCTTGGCAGGACAGAAGAGACTGGTACAAAATATTCAAAGTATGAAAAACACAGACTTAACAACCAAGATTATTCTACCCAGCAAAGCTTGTCATTTATAATCAAGGGGAACTTCTGGCCAAGATGGAGGTGTAGGTAGACACACTGTGTCTCCTCACATGATCAAAAGAAGGATAACAACAAATTTTAAAACAGAAAACAACCATAACTGTTAGAAAATCACACTGTATGGAAGTCAGACAACCAAGGAGTTAAAGAAACATTTGTCCAGAACAGTAGGAGTGGTAGAGGCAGGCAGCTAGGGCAGAGAGGACATGCAGCAAGGTGTCAGCTGGAAAAGCTGGGTGGGCAAGGCAGTGGCTAATGAACCAGGCAGTCCCACATTTGTGTGCAGATAAGCCAGGAGGAATAACTGGGGAGTGAGACAAACTGCTCAACCCAGGGTTCCAGTGCAGGGAAATAAAGCCTCAAAACCTCTGAGTGAAAAAAACTTGTGGGGGTTGCAGCAGTAGAAGGAACTCCCTGCCTCACAGGAGGGTTCACTGGAGAGACCCACAGGGTCCTAGAATGTACACAAACCCACCCCACCCAGGAATCAGCACCAGAAGGGCCCAATTTGCTTGTGTATAGTGGGGAAAGTGACTGAAAGCCAGCAGAGAGCCAAGCAAGTGGCATTGTTCCCTCTTGGACCCTCCCCCCATGCAGTGCCACACCTCAGTGGTGTGGGTTGCCCCACCCTGGGAAAACTTAAGGCTCCACCCCTTACAATATAACAGATGCTGAGACAAAAAATATGGCCCAAATGAAAGAAAAGAACAAAGCTCCAAAAATAGAACTAAGCAATGAACAGATAGCCAACCTATCAGAATCACAGTTCAAAACACTGATAATCAGGATGCTCACAGAAATGGTTGAGTATGGTTGCAAAAACAGAGGAAAAAGTAAAGGTTATGCAGAGTGAAATGAAGGAAAATGTACAGGGAACCAATAGTGACAGGAAGGAAACCGGGACTCAAATCAGCAGTTTGGACCAGAAGGAATAAATAAACATTCACCTGGAACAGAATGAAGAAAGAAGAATTCAAATAAATGAGGAGAGGCTTAGGAACCTCCAGGACACCTTTAAATGTCCCAACATCTGAATCATAGAGGCGGGGCCAGAAGGAGAAGAGGAAGAGCAAGAAATTGAAAACTTATTTGAAAAAATAATGAAAGAGAACTTCCCCAGTCTGGGAAAGGAAATAGACTTCCAGGAAGTCCAGGAAGCTCAGTAAGACCCAAAGAAGTTAGACCCAAGAAAGTACACACCAAGCACATCATAATTACATTACCCAAGATTAAAGGTAAGAGGAGAATCTTGAAAGCAGTGAGAGAAAGGGAGGGAGTTACCTACAAAGGAGTGCCCATAAGACTTATAAGCTGATTTCTCAAAAGGAACTTTTCAGGCAAGAAGGTGCTGGAGAGAAGTATCCAAAGTCATGGATTCTCTCTTACAGAAGCATGAGCTTCCTTATACATCTCCTTCATCATGTCTGAAGTTGCATTGTTCTTTATGTAATGAGAGACTTGTTTCTTATAAGCATTTGCATCTTTTTCCATTAAGTAATGCATTTAATTTTCAATATTTTGACTTATGATGTGCTTCTAATATATTTCTGCATTGCATTTCTTGCTTTCTGTATCATAACCAGGTAACTGTTTGGTACTGTGAGGGAGAGACAATCTCCATCCATAGCCCATTCAGGGATGACAAAACTTTATTTCCAGTAGTAGTTCTGGCCAGCTGTACATCCAAATAGCAGGTACAGGCAGATGATTGACCATCAGTGCTTTCCACATTGTGTTCATCTCAGTCACCTCCACTTGGCCTTTATATTTCCTGTCCATACCCAACCTACTGTGTAGCCCGCAGACCTGCAGCAGGCCAGTACAATGTGCAGGAGCATAATTTGTCAGGTCATCCTTCACACCATACTTTGGAAGTTCATGAGTGTAATCTTCACAAAATATCATATATATCTTTCTACATGGGCATAAGCAAACTAAGAAATGTTATCTCTGTTGGCTACAACATGAATTCTCATCATGTATTTGGGTGTGTTGTACTTATGTTTGTCCTAGATTACCAAGAGTTCCTGGGCATAAAAATTAGTTTTTCTCTACCATTGTTTTCCAAATTTTACTTGGTACCTCTTGAAGTAGGCCTAATTTTTGACAACTTTAACAAACCCCAACAAATCCTGCGGAAGAGAGACTCACGTTCATGCCTCACCCCAGACCTGCAGGCCCAGCACAGCTCCAGTGGGGGCGGGATGATGTGCTGTATAATCCATTTTATTTCTGTTACAAACAAATAATTTAATTATAAATTTATTAATTTTTAACTATTTTAGTAAACTCATATGTAACATTACTGTTTTTTGTATTAATTTGCTAGGTAAATGATATTCCTAAAGTAAAGAAAGTAGTATTTGCTATTCCTAGGAATTCTTCTGTAAGGAAGATCTGTCTCTTTTGTCCCATTAATTTATTTGTATCAGTCAGGACTCTATATTTATTTTATACTTTGGGTTATAATTTGAATACAGTGTTAGTTATTTTGTTGCTCAAGCTGTTCCAGTTTGGTCATTGGGAGCTCTTTAAGATTGGTTTCTGTGTGCCATGGATATGCCCCATTGTGTTTTTGTACACTTCCTTGCTTTCTGGACATAAAGAGCCAGTCAATTTTCTTCAAGTTGACATACTGTAGTACAAAATGTAATTACTATTAGAATAAAAAGTTTGTCAGAATCAATGATTCAATTCAGTTAAACACAAATTTACATTTTCATTATTTTAAGTATGATTTAATGTTTTGATCAGTAAACTTTAAAAATACATATATTTTTTTGGTTATGCTATTACAGTTGTCCCAATTTTTCCCTCTTTGTCCTCTCCACCTATACTTAGTGAACTTCTAAATATACCCAAGTGTAATAAAAATATACACTTGTAGTATATTTACTACTGATATATCAGGGAAACTATAGTTTTTTTTACAGATTTTATTTATTTATTTAATTTTAGAGAGAGGTAAAGAGAGGGAGAAAGGGAGAGAAATGTTGATGCAAGAGAGAAACATCAATCTGTTGTCTCTTGTACACGCTCTGGCTGAGATTGAGCCCACAACCCAGTCATGTATCCTGACCTGGAATTGAACCTGCAGCCTTTGCTTTGTGGGACAACACTGAACCAAGTGAGGCACACCAGTCAGGATGAATACATATATGAATAGTTGGATATATATATATATATATATATTTAAATGACATTGTGGTCTGTAGTAAAAGATTTATAAAAATTATGTATAATGCTGTGAATCAAATATTTATCATAAAAGTTTTTAAAGTGTGTTTTTCTGAGTAAAAAATGTACATTTTAGTTAATTTTTTAATTAAAGGAAAGCAGAGTGTTGCGGACAGTTCCTCTACTGGCAGCATGCCTCCCTCAGGACAAATGTAGAGTCAAGATTGGTCGTCGCTTCAGTGAAGAAAGGTAATTTAAAATAAATTTTTCCACATAAATTTTTAAATACGATTTTTTAAAACTTATTTAGACCTAGAACAAGGTACATTGGAAGTAGCCAAAAAACTTAAGTTTTGCCTTTTCTCTCAAAATAATACAAGACAAAGCAAAACATAAACAAAAACACCTCCCCACAATAGACCAAAGTGGAATAAACAAAGGAATGATGGCATTACCTGAATTCCATACTAATATATGTTGAGCCTAAAGGACATGTATCTTTACTGTTTGTTTTGTTTTTGTTCAGTATGGTGGGGTACTTTATTAGTTTTAGTTTAGTTTTTTTCTTTTTTTATGTTATATATGATATACATTTATATAAGTAAACACATATCTATTTTTAGTCCATTAAAGCTTTCATAAGATACAGTGACTAACTACTACTATATTTAGTTATAGGCACATCATATATATATTTTAAGGATAAAACACCTTTTGTCACATTTAAAATATTTTTTTGATGAGACCCAGTATATTTATGTGTAGCAGCCATTAGTTGATATCTTCATTAACAGATCTGTAGTGTTCTTGGATCTTATTTCACATTCTATTACATAACCATTATCATAAATATATACAAATATATATATATTTAAATTTCTCTACAAGTATTTTTATACCTTGGAATAATCTTTGTTGCTTTTCTATCCACTCATAAAGGCTTTACAAATTGCTTTGATCCTGCCTACATAGTTACATATATTTTTAGATGCAAAATTTAATTTCTCTTGAAAATGTGGAGATTTCTTTTTTCAGTTCACTTATGAAAATGCAAAGTAAGACTTGTACTAGCAGGAAGCCTAGGGAATTGATTAAGCTTTTTCCTTCCTGTGTTATTTTTTAGCTTCCTTGTGTAATTTAGCTTCATGTTATAAAAATAACATAATGTTAGAACTTTATATAATCATTTTTTCTGTTCTCTGTTGATTAGGCACACTTTTCTCATACAGAATTTTCTTTTGTAGATTTTGCATTTCCTTGCCCAGAGGTGCTGCGATTGGGAATTTTGCCTTTTTATTGAGAATACAAGTGAGATTCAGAGCTCATAACATGGGGAGCAGCCACATCATTTACATTGTGACACTTCTTTCACACAGAGGCTCTTTATAACGATAGTTTCTCTATAATTCTTGGGTGGGTGTGATATATAGGTGGAACAAAGTTCCATCTAATCTGCCAACTTGGATCTATGTTATTCTATTGCAAAAATGATGAGCATCTATGGTGGTAAAATTGGAAACTATCTGGCTATCTAACCCCTTCATGAATGTGCTTGGGGATGAGAAGTTTGACACTTTTCCAAATAGCTCATCCTATTTTGAGCTCTTGTATTAACTAGTTCAGTTTTTTCCCACGGTGCCTAATATAGTGCTTACTCAGTAAATTATTATACAATGATGGATTTTAAACTAAAGCTCATTAAGACAATTGACTTAATATTAATTTAGTAATTATTAATTTAAGCTTATCTTAGAGTATGTGATATAACTATAGCAAAATGATTATGAGACATATTACTTTTGGCATTCTTTATAAATGGAATTTAAAAATGCTTTTAATTTTTTGCCTCTATTATGTAAGAAAACACTGGGTTTTACATATCAAGCCTTGTATCCAGTGACTTTCTAAATTGATTTTTCAGTTGTAGAAATTGTTTTTAGGTCTTTCTGTGTAAGTAGCATTCTCATATGCAAATAGGGTCATTTATACTTCTTCCTTTCAGATCTTTATGCCTTTAATTATTTTTTTCTTGCTTTATTGTAATAATTGGACCTTCAGTCTAATGTGAATCAGGAGTGGTAAAAGACAATATTTCTACCTTGATCCCAATCTCAGAGAACATTGTTAAATATATTGGCAGTACATTTTTGTAGATGCCTTTTACTGGTTTGAAGAAGATGCTGTTTGTGTTTAATTGATTTTTTAACTTGTCTCCTTTCCCCTCAAGCTTATTTTGTTTCTGGTAGACAGAGGCTATCTCATTTATTATTACATCTCCAGTCCAAAAATACTTTGATATGTATTTTTATCTGTATTTTTGAATGAAGTTCAATGAAACTTTTGTTAACCTACAAAGTAATAAATATTTCTTTTTAAAAAAATGTTTTAGAGATCCTGAACTTTCAATGGTTTGTCGGAAGTCTGGTACATTAATATTATATCCAGGGGCTGAAGCTGCTAATTTGGAAGAATTTATATTAGACTCTCCTATTTATCCTTCCACAATCATCATCATCGATGGTACATGGAGCCAGGCTAAGGACATTTTCTATAAGAATTCCTTGTTTCGACTGCCCAAACAGGTAAACCAGTAGTATTTCTTAAAATTTATTTTATTATTTTTAACTTTATTTTTATTGTTGACACTATTACAGATGTCCCCATTCCCCTTCCCTTTGCTCACCTCCACCCAGCCCTGGCTCCCATCTGCCCATTACTGCATTGTTTTCTGTGTTTATGGGCTATGCATAAATGTTCTTTAGCTATTCCCTTCACCTTCTTTCATCTAGTCCCTCCCCCACAACCCTCCTGTCTGACAGCTGTCAGTCTGTTCCATGGTTCCACGCCTCTGTTTCTATTTTGTTCATCAGTTTATTTTGTTCATTAGATTCCACATATAAGTGAGATCATATGGTATTTGTCTTTCTCTGACTGGCTTATTTCACTTAGTATAATACTCTCCAGGTCCATTCTTGCTGTTGCAAAAGGTAAGAGTTCCTTGTTTTTTTATAGCCATGTAGTATTCATTGTGTAAATGTACCACAGCTTTTTTTTTTTTTTTTTGTAATATCCACTCAATTACTGATGGGAACTTGGACTGCTTCTATATAAATATTTTAATAATTCTCTCTTACAGTTTTATTCACCAAGGAAAAAAATAAAATTATAAAATAAAAATTTAGGTCAGTTCTTATCTATATTTTCCAACTTAGATATAAACTTATAGTTTAAGTTAACTAGGTTTTATTGCTAAATGTAATTAGTAATTTTTTTACCACCCCCTTCCATATAAATATACTCATATACTGCTTTTTGTATAAATTTATCTTGGCTGCTACTTAATTTAGTTGATCCATTCAATTTCTGTAGTAGTATAAAAATTTTGGTCCATATGCATGAGAGAAAACAGCAGAAAGAAAACAGAAATAAGAATTATAATCCAATATTGCTTTTTTTACAGAAAAGTATATAGTTTTTTTTCTAAATATGTAACCATATGTGAATTTATACTTACATAATTAAGGAGTGAAAGAATTGTAATGCAAACCCATTACTTGGCCTCCTTTTAATCTGGATTTCTAATACATCCAGACCATTTGGCAGTGAATCTCTTCCCTCAGAGGAATCTCACACAGGAGACTCTTGATATTTGCTAGGAGTAAATCCAAGGTGAACATGAAAATATTTGTAGATGCTCCTGGCTTTCTTCATAAACTTGTTTTTTGTGAGTATTTGCATTTCCTTATCCTACTGCCTTTTAAACTACTTAAAGCTCAATTTCTCACTTGCAAAGCAGAACACTGTTGGGGATACTCACTGGCTGAGACAGTTCCCTGAAAACTTTCTTGTGTCTGTGTACATAGAGCTATGACGGTCTGATTTATGTTACATATCTAATCTATTAAGAAAGTCAGATTTATCATTCTCCTTTCAATTTTTTAATTGAGCTATAATTGCCATATAACATTATATTGGTTTCAGGTATATAGCATAATGATTAGATATTTGCATAGATTGCAAAATAATCTCTACAATAAGTCCATTTAACATCTATCACCATATATAGTTATCATTTTTTCTTTTGATGAGAACATTTTTTATATTATTTTATCTATTATTTTTTAAACTTTTTAAATTGTTGTTCAACCCCTCATTACTACCCCCTACCCCAGCCATCCCCACTTACTACCCTTGATCCTACCCTGCTTTGGTTTTATCCATGTGTCCTTTATAGATGTTCCTGAAAATCCTTCTGCCTTTTCCCCGCATGATCCCCTCCCACCTTCCCTCTGGTTACTGTCAGGTTGTTCTTAATTTCAATGTCTTCTAAGATCTACTCTCTTAGTAACTTTGAAATATATAATGCTATATTATTAACTATAGTCATTATTCTTAGATCCCCAGGACTTGCTTATTTTAAAACTAGAAGTTTGTCCCTTTGACCTGCCATGACCCATTTTGCCTACCCCCTACCCCTAACCTCTTTTAGCTAGCAATCTATTCTATGTATCAGTGAACTTGTTTGTTTTGCTTTGGTTTTAGATTCCAAGTATAAGTGATATCATGTAGTATTTGGGTATTTGTTTTTCTTTAGTTTATTTCATTTAGCATAATGCCCTCAAGGTGTCTCTCACGTTGTTAAAAATAATAAAATCTGCTTTTTCTTTATTCATTCATCTGTGGATACTTAGGTTGTTTCCATATCTGGCTATTTTAAATAATGCTGCAATGAATATGGGTTGGGAGTGTAGATATGTTTTTGAGTCAGTGTTTTCATTTTCTTCAGATTAACCTTTTAATTTTATTCAAAACTTTAGTTTTGTTTACTTCTATTACCAGCAATTTTAAAAGAAATTTTATTGAGCCCTGGCTGGTGTGGCTCAGTGGATTAAGTGCCAACCTGCGAACCAAAGGGTCACTGGTTTGATTCCCAGACAGGGCACATGCCTGGGTTGTGGGCCAGGTCACCACCTGGGGGTATGCGAGAGGCAACCACACATTGATGTTTCTCTCCCTCTCTTTCTCTCTCCCTTCCCCTTTCTCTAAAAATAAGTAAGTAAATAAGTAAATAAATAAAAGATTTATTAAAAAGAAAAATTTTATTGAGTTTATTCAGGTGATAGTGGTTAATACAATTATATGGATTTCAGTTGTACAATTCTATAGGGAATTAGCATACTTTTAAATGCCTTTTTCTCCTGAGAAGGATTTTTTTTTTACATTTAGAATATGTAAAAAGATTCTGGAGAACTAGAACTATGGAACAATAGAGCCTCATTGAGATATGAAATCTGAATAGCCTGTTTTTACTCTTTGTTAAGTGATGTCTATGCTTTACCTTCCAATAAGTATACCACACAAAATAAGTATTTCATGTCCCAGAACTTCAATGTCCATAGGGCAGGGTCACAACAGTTGAATGTAAAATGTGGAATGTCAGAGTTTTACTCTATCTGTGATTAACTCTTTTGGCCTTTGTTCAAAGTTCATCTATGTTGTAGCACATATCAGAAATGTATTCTTTTTTTATGGCTAATATACTGTATGCATATACCATATTTTATCATCCATCCATTGATGGACATTTGATTTGTTTCTGCTTTTTGGCTGTTGCAAATAATGTTTTTGTGAATATTTGTGTACAAGTTGCTGTGTGATACCTGCTTTCAGTTCTTTTTGGTATATACCTAGACTTGGGATTGTTGGGTTATTTAGTAACTCTATATTTAACTTTTTTGAGAAACTGCCAAACTGTTTTTTAAAGCAGCTACACTGTTTTACATTTGCATTTCCTCTAGCAATATATGAATGATCCACCTTTTCCATATCCTGGCCAACATTAGTTATGTCCTTTTTTGTTTTTAATATGGCCATCCTGGTGGGTATGAAGTAATGTTTCATTGTGTTTTATTTTAATCCTCAAAGACATGCTTATTGATTTTAGAGAGAGGAGAAGGGAGGGAAAAAGAAGGGGAGACAGATATTAATGTAAGACAGAAACATCAACCAGTTGCCTTTCCTATACACCCTGACTGGGGACTGAACCTGCAAAACCTAGGCATGTGCTCTGATTGGGAATTGAACCTATATTCCTCCTGGTTTGCAAGATGATGTCCAACCAACTGAGCTACACTGGCCAGGACTTACTATGATTTTGATTTTTGTTTCCCTAGTGACTAACAATGCTGAATGTCTTTTTATGTACTTAATCATTTGTGTATCTTCTTTGGAGGAATAGCTTTCAAATCCTTTGCTGATTTTTAAATTTAGTTATTTTTCTTTTTATTGTTGAGTTGTAAGTGATCTGTAGAATAACCCCTAATTAGATATATTACTTGCAATTATTTTCTCCCATTTTGTGAGTTGTCTTTTTGCTTTCTTGATTGTGTTTCTTGAAGTGCTTTTAATTTTGATGAAGTGCAATTTATCTTTTGTTGTTTGTTTCTTGACTGTTAGATGTTTTAATGCTCACGGGAAAAGAAGTGAGGAGAAAAATACTGTAGACTTTGAGTATAAAGTCAAATAAAGTTCAGATTTGGAAGAAGTGCTTAAGATTCCCTGGGCACCAAATGCTAGAAATATTTTCAAAAGTCAAAAACCCATTACTCTGTTCTCTATTAATTTATTTTTATTTACTTTTCCAAACATTCTTTTTTTAATTTTAATTGTTGTTCAAGTACAGTTTTCTGCCTTTTACTCCCATCCCGACATTCTTATAGTGGTTATTATGTGAGTCACTTTTCTAAATACAAATGTTAAGTCATTTAATTGTCATAACAAATTTCATAAGGTTTTTTTTTATGATTTCCATTTTGTAGAAGCAGAAACTGAGGTACAGAGATGTTAAGTATAACTTGTCCAAGATCACATAGCTAGTAACTGGTGGAACTGGTAAAGAGTTATAACATATTTTTAAGGTTTTTATATGAAATACAATGTTGATATTAAGAGCTTAAGACTAATCCCTAATTTTAATCACAGAGAGGGACAAAGAAGATGTTGTATAGAAGCATGTTGAGAATGGGTTAGGGCTGGTTTGGAAAATTCTGCTGAAATTTGGGTAAGCATTTAATGCTATAACAGTATGTTTTTCAAGTGTTTTGTCTCTGGGAATTCATTAAATAGACTTAATTTTTGTTATTTTAAATTATACTTGCCCTCATAATTTTTACATATAATTTGTGTACCTTTCTTATGAGAGATTAGAAATGGTGGCATACACTTACCAATATCTAACTGGTAATTATCAGCTAACATGCTATTATGCATGGAAACTTTTATTATGGACTATGCATTCTTTATATATTTTGGACAACTCATTATATCCATAAAAAGTATAATTTTATGAACCAAATATTTTACATTAGAAAGAGGATAGGGAAACTGATGATTCCTGACATGTGTGATAATATTGTGCCTATCAACTGCTGAAACAAATCAATGTTTAAAGCAAAAGTTAATAATTGCCATTGCCTCCTTTCCAGGTAACCCCATAACTGTGCTTTCATCCTTGAACCTTCAGATATTTAGAATTATAAGTGTGTTGTGTTTGCTTCCAGTTTTTTCTATGTTTATGTACAAT